GTCTCTCTCTCTGGTCTCTCTCTGGTCTCTCTCTGGTCTCTCTCTCTGGTCTCTCTCTCTGGTCTCTCTCTCTGGTCTCTCTCTGGTCTCTCTCTCTGGTCTCTCTCTCTGGTCTCTCTCTCTGGTCTCTCTCTGGTCTCTCTCTGGTCTCTCTCTGGTCTCTCTCTCTGGTCTCTCTCTCTGGTCTCTCTCTGGTCTCTCTCTGGTCTCTCTCTGGTCTCTCTCTCTGGTCTCTCTCTGGTCTCTCTCTGGTCTCTCTCTTCAGCTGCTGGTGCAGGTTAAACCAGGGCACTAACCTCCCATTTCCCATCAGCCCTTTCATCTCATCAGACATTTGTGTTTTGTGCTTCACTAATAGAAATCCTGTCCCATGATCCTTTGCGTGTTACCTCTGTGTCACAGTTCACATTTCATAATTAACGTTCTCCGTTCTCCTCTGTGTTTCAAGACAAAACCTGTAATATTATAACTACACACTTTTATCTGAAGAAAGTCCGTCTCTGTGGAAAGTATATTTAATTAACTTTATGTAGAACTGTGATTGTTGAGAGACTGAGACCTGCGGAAGTCAAATATCATTGGTTTTTATTATTTCTACAGACATTTTCTATCAGGGAAGACAGTGGATCCATACCAAAGAACTCAGATTGTTAGACCAGTCCCTGTGCTCCTCAGAGTCCCAGCAGGAGACCATTCCCTGTGCTCCTCAGAGTCCCAGCAGGAAACCTGTCCCTGTGCTCCTCAGAGTCCCAGCAGGAGGCCAGTCCCTGTGCTCCTCAGAGTCCCAGCAGGAGTCCAGTCCCTGTGCTCCTCAGAGTCCCAGCAGTAGACCAGTCCCTGTGCTCCTCAGAGTCCCAGCAGGAGGCCAGTCCCTGTGCTCCTCAGAGTCAGAGTTGGTTCATATGGCAGTAACATGTAACAGATACTTTGGTGCTAGGCCATGGATTCAATGAAATTCAAATTCATTTTTTTTTTTTTCTTCTTTTTTTTGTATAGCCCTAATTGCAGTTGTGATTTTTGTCGGAGGACTTCACAAAACTGTCGATTCTTCAACACAGATCAGAGAATCAAACAGTTCAAACACAGGAAATGCAATGATAAGAAACACATTAGTCGTATACTTAGGGTGTATTTAGACCTGCACATTTGCTCCACTTTAAAACGAACCTGGATTCGTTTGGAACTCTGATCCGAAGCTATTATGCTGGTCTGAAAACACACACACGAATCCTGGTCCGGACCAAAGAACCGAACCGAGACCCACTTTTTTAGGTGATCTCGGTCCGCTTCCAAACGAATTCTGGTCCAAGTTGAATCAGGTCTGAATACATCCGGTGTCGATCCGACACAACTCCAAGATACGTGCGCATTTTTTGGGCTTAACAAGCACCGCAGACAGAAACTGAGGAATTAGCCATGCAGCGGCTAACTATGCTGCTAACTATGCTGCTAACTATGCTGCTAACTATGCTGCTAACGCTACACAACAACACTGAGCCGTGTGCAGACCTGGAGCAGTGGGGAGACGCTGTGCAACAGGCTTATGGAGTTAAAACTGTTCCCAGTATACATTGATGTTAATGGCAGCATCTTCAAACCATTTGCATTGTTAAAAGCCTGACACTGTTTGACTCACGTCTCAAAGAGCAATATTCCGCATCATGTAGTGAATTGTGTTCTTTGGTTCCTACATGATCCTCAGCGTCTGTTTGTCCCGTGGTTATTATAGATCCATGGTTTATCCACGATGCTGCTGTCAGTAAGTTGTGGAACAGGGTTATTATCATAGATCCATGTGTGGGACAGGGCACGGAGCGCACAGAGAGTCTCCTTCGGCTTTCTCCTCACGCATTCTCCGACGCTGTTCCAATATTTAAAACAACGTGTTTCGCCTGCGTCATATGACCTGCTGTTGATGTTGAAGGTGGTTTTGCTCTAAAAAGAGCAAACAGAGGCAGAGCAGACATGCTGCACATACGAGCCCTCAATGTTTTCCTTCGGTTCCGCGTCTATCCTCTGTGAGCTCTGCTGTCCAATAGGAGCGCCGATCGTCACACGTGTCAATATGTTTATATAAAAAAGTTCACTTGCAAAAAGGACAGTCTGAATACAAACCGGAGCAAAAGAAAAAGTTTGGTCCGCTTTTGATTCGGATCAAGCAAGCGGAGCAAAGGACTTTTCAGGTCTGAATACACCCTTAGATTTAGACTTATACTTAGACTTTATTGATCCACAGGGAAGTTGTCACAGTAGCTTGCATAGTAATCCACAATAAAAATAACAATAAAGTAACAATCTAAAAATATTAATAATAATAAGATCATATTGTGATAAAAGAATAATCTGGAGTATACATATCTGTGAATATGTACACATAAAGGGTCCATAAGGAGAGACCATGTGGTAAGGGGATGTCCTTGAATGTAAAAAAGCTGTTGAGAGACTTGAGCCCATGCAGAGCTGCTTTAAAGTCTATTGTGAACTGAGAGTTTTCAGCCTCTAACATAAAAACCAAAATCCTGAGACGTTTCTCTCCATTTCCTCATGTTTTTGGTTTCATTCCTGCGATGTGAAAACCCCTTTTACGGCTACATTTAAATCTGCACTAGAGTAGTTCACCTCGACACAGAACTGGGGACAAAAACACTCGTTCCGCTGCTGTGTGGATGGAAATAGCACGGGCTCCGCGTGCTCAAACGGAGACCGGGTCCGGAGCTTTTAGCAGCGCCGCAGTGGACCATCGGAAATCCATGTGTGGTCCACTTCTCCTGCGTCTGCATCGATCCAGAGCCAAGAGAGAAGTCGTCCTCTGTCCCATGTCCCATGTCCTTAGACCTGGGACTGAGGGCCTGGGACTGAGGGCCTGGGATTGAGGGCCTGGGACTGAGGACCTGGGACTGAGGACCTGGGACTGAGGACCTGGGACTGAGGACCTGGACTCAGACCTGGGACTCTACCCTACCCTACTCTACAGTACTTTCTACTCTCTACTCTACTCTACTCTACCATACTTTACTTTACCCTAGTCTACCCTACGCTACTCTACTCCACCCTACCCTACTCTACTCTACTCTACTCTACTCTACTCTCTACTCTACTTTACTCTCTACTCTACTCTACTCTACTCTACTCTACTCTACTCTACTCTACTCTACTCTACTCTACTCTACTCTCTACTCTACTCTACTCTACTCTACTTTACTTTACCCTACTCTACCCTACGCTAATCTACTCTACCTTAATCTACTCTCTTCTACCCTACCCTAATCTTCTCTACTCTACCATACTTTACTTTACCCTACTCTACCCTACGCTAATCTACTCTACCCTACTCTACTCTACTCTACTCTACTCTACTCTACTCTACTCTACTCTACTCTACTCTACTCTACTCTACTCTACTCTACTCTACTCTACTCTAGTGTTTCCACTGGTCCTGTGTAACCAGTACCAAATCCTTCTTTAGTCCCTCTTGGTCCTGGTTCTATCCAGGCTCAGCTGGTACAAACGTGTTCTAACTGACAGTGATTGGCCAGAGTGCTGTTGGAAGCCATGGTTGCCAAGGAATTTCCCCGGGTACTCTTTTTTTTGTGCACAGTTTGCAAGGATAGGGACCAGACCAGATACTACAGCGTAAGCAGAGCTAAGAACGGCTGGTGGAAACAGGGCTTAAGTAACAAGTCTTTTCTGACAGCATTTTTTGGGTAAACGAGATCGGAAAACAATTATGAAAGGAACATTTTTCATCCTTTTGTGTTTGTTGAATCCAGATTTAATTCCGCTTCCATCACAGCCAGGATTGGGATTGACACTCCAGCGTTTTGGACAGGTCCTTCTCCAGCGCATGTTTACATTAGAGCTTTACAGTCGATGGTACCTGACAGCTCAATGCAAACACACTGTCATCTTTTATTCATCCATTACCTCTCTCTACTTCTCCTCTCTCTCTGGTCTCTCTCTCTCTCTCTCTTTGACCTCTCTCTCTCTCTCTCTCTCACACATTTTCCTCTGGTCCAGACACATGCAGCTCCCAGTTCTTTTGTCCCCAAATAAACAGCGATCCTTGGAAAAAATCAGATAACAATAAATGATGGGGTTGGAGAGGCCTTCTTTGGTCTCTCTCTGGTCTCTCTTTGGTCTCTGTCTGATCTCTCTTTTTGGTCTCTCTCTTTGGTCTCTCTCTTCTCTCTCTGGTCTCCCACTGGTTGCTCTCTGGCCTCTCTTTGGTATCACTCTGGTCTCTCTCTTCTCTCTCACTGGTCTCCCACTTTTCTCTCTCTGCTCTCCCTTTAGTCTCCCACTTCTCTCTCTTTCTGCTCTCTCTCTGGTCTCTGTCTGGTCTTTCTCTATCCATGTTTGCCGTTGGAGAGAATGGATTTTCCCGTTGTGTGTGTCAGAACGTGGGATTATCGCTCTCAGAGTCTGATTAGAGGCACTTTGTCACAGATATTGAACACGTCTGACCGACCTGCTTTGACTTTGTCTCTTTGTCTGCGGAGATGGAAGAGCAGAGTGCAAATATATTTGAAGGACACGTATTATGCACAATCGACTTTCTCATGAGGCCCAGTCCACACCACAAGTTAAACGTAGAAATATATACGATATCGATTCAGTGTTTTGTCCATATGAAGCTGGTGTTTTGGAAGTCTGATAATGCACTGAAAGCAGGTTCTGGAGTGAACAGACCATATAGAGGAGAGAGACCAGAAAGAGAGACCAGAAAGAGAGACCAGAGAGACCACAGAGAGAGACTAGAGTTAGTGACCATAGAGAGAAGAGAGAGGCCAGATAGAGAGACCAGAGTGAGTGATGAGAGAGAGAGAAGAGAGAGGCCAGAAAGAGAGACCAGAGGGACAAAGAAGAAAGAGAAACCCGAAGGAGACCAGAGAGAGAGAAGAAAGAGGCCAGAAAGAGAGAGAAGAGAGAGGTCAGAAAGAGCAAGTTATTTTCTAGTTTAACCGTTCTCTTTCCCGTTTCTTGCAGACTTTGTTGTGGCCATGACGACCGAGGAGGAGGAGGGACCTGTCGGTGCCACGCCCACTGCATCATCACCGCGCGTCACAGCGTCACAGCTGCCCCGGGGCGACTGCGGCACACATGGCGTCACTTCCTCCTCCGGCAGAAGACTGCACCAGAGACCCCACACCGAGGAGGAGGACATCGAGGATGACGGTGCGTTCAAGGAGCAACGGGTCTTACAAGCTTTCATCACATTTATTTATTTTTGTACTGTCCAAATTCACAGCACAAAAGAAGATTAGAAAATCAAACTATTAAAAAGTTAGTGGTAAAAAAAAAAGATAAGGAATGAAGCAAATGAATAAATGTTGTGGTGGAAAATTACTATTCATAAGTTTAATAACAAGAGACCAGAGAGAGACCAGAGAGAGACCAGAGAGAGAGACCAGAGAGAGAGACCAGAGAGAGCGACGAGAGAGAGAGACGAGAGAGACCAGAGAGAGACCAGAGAGAGAGACCAGAGAGAGAAACCACTGAGAGAGCGACCAGAGAAAGCGACCAGAGAGAGAGACCAGTGTGAGACCAGAGTATCTGTTAGCACTAAGCTAAACCTCAAAATGTATTTGTGACAGGTCCGGATGAGCGAATACCAGAAGAGGACGGTCGGATACAGGAAGTGGAAGGTCGGATACAGGAAGTGGACAGTCGGATACAGGAAGTTGACGGTCGGATACAGGAAGTGGAGGATGTCGGAGGCTGCGAGGCAGACAGCAGCAGCAGTGAGGACGACTCCAGCGACGCCAGTGTGTTGGTGGTGCCGTACCCAGAGCTGGTGCCTGTGGTCTTCTTCTGTATGAAGCAGACCACGTGTCCGCGGAGTCTCTGCATCCGCATGGTCTGCAACCCATATCCTTTCACTGCACTGGGGGAAGGGCCACCAGGGTAAGCCTGTGTCAGTCTCTGCAGCCACTGATTCACTTTGCGTATCATCTGTGTCGGTGTGTCGAAGTGTTTCATTAGCTCAGTAGCTTTCCGGGCTTCTCATTGCTTCAGAGCGTTACAGTCTAAGGTTTTGTGTATATAGCATAGACTGTAGTGGAGAGGCGCTATCTAGCTACAGTATAAATGATGCATCAATATTTATTCACAATGTTGAGTGTAAAGTTGTGTAGTGTTGGTGATTTTGGCATCTGCAAGTGGAAAACAGAGATCCATGGTTTGGGATCATTTTTCATCTTATTCAACCTCAACAAGGTATTGTCTCATTGTTTGCAAGTGGTGTAGTGTTATTAAGTATTCAGAAGCTGCAATGAGTACATTTGTCCACAAGACGTCAGTATTGCAAACTAGTATGAGACCCTAACCCTAGTATGCAAGTTCGTTAAAGTGCTTTGTTCAGACTGATAACAACTTTTGGAAAGAAGTCGTTAGCATATCCAGATGTCCTGTATTTCATTAAACGAGATCTTCTGCCAGAGGGAAGAAGCTGGAACATGGCTTTCCCAGGAGCCAGAAGAGTCATTGATCATATTAAGAGCTATGAATAGCAATGAACAGACTACAGCAGAAGTAATATTGCAGACAATTTGTGTTTTTAGACGTAGGGTTGTACTTTTAAGTCTTACCTGAGTCTTACCTACTTAACTATATGCAGCATTAAAAAATACTTTTTTAATCCTGGCCTCACTGTAGACTGTGTCTGCTTCCTTCACGTGAATGGGGAGCTAGTCTTGTTCTGGTTTTTCTCTGGTCCCTCTCTCTTGTCCCTCTCTCTGGTCCCTCTCTCTGGTCCCTCTCTCTGGTCCCTCTCTCTGGTCCCTCTCCCTTGTCCCTCTCTCTCTCTCTGCTCTCCTGCTCAAGTCTTTCCCTGGTCTCTTTCTGGTCTCTCATCTCTGGTCCCTATCTGGTCTCTCTGGTCTCTCTCTGGTCTCTTTCATGTCTCTCTTAGTCTCACCTGAGTCTTGCCTACCTAACCATAGCTAAATTAGAGAGGACTGTTTTAATCCTTGAATGTAGAGACTGTGTTTGCTTCCTTGATGGTGGTGAGAAGCTGATTCAGTAGCTCCTCATCAGTATAGGAGCCTGTTAGCTAAACGTCGGCTTTTTGACACTTTAAGAAGCAGCAAAAATATTACAGAGCTAAAGCGCCGGACACATCTGCAGTCTCACCCCTTCACAGCCTCCTGCCTCTGTGCGACTGCAGTACGGTGGCCTGGAGGGTCGGCTCCTCTCGCTGGTGTTTGCTCAGTGTCAGACTCCGACAGATGGAGAGAGATGACTCATGTAAACTCTACACACTCTGCAGACTCACTCTTTATGGCTTCCACAGTTTCATTCAGAGAAATACACAATATCAAGCAGCGAGAGAGAAAGAGAGACTAGAGAGAGACCAGTGAGAAAGAAAAGAGAGCCAGAGAGACCAGAGAGAGAGTGAAGAGAGTCGGAGAGAGAGAGAGACCATAGAGAGAAACCAGAGAGAGAAGAGAGCCAGAGAGAGAGAGAGACTAGATAGAGAGAAAGACCAGATAGAGAAGAGAGCCAGAGAGAGATGAGAGAGAGATGAGAGCCAAAGAGAGAGAGAGACCAGAGAGAGAAACCAGAGAGAGAAGAGAGCCAGAGAGAGAGAGAGACCAGAGAGAGAGAAAGACCAGATAGAGAAGAGAGCCAGAGAGAGACCAGAGAGAGATGAGAGCCAAAGAGAGAGAGAGAGACCAGAGAGAGAGAGACCAGAGAGAGAGAGACCAGAGAGAGAGAGACCAGAGAGAGAAGAGAGCCAGAGAGAGCGAGAGACCAGAGAGAGAGAGAGAGACCAGAGAGAGAAGAGAGCCAGAGAGAGAGACCAGAGAGAGAAGAGAGCCAGAGAGAGACCAGAGAGAGAGAAAGACCAGATAGAGAAGAGAGCCAGAGAGAGACCAGAGAGAGATGAGAGCCAAAGAGAGAGAGAGACCAGAGGGAGAGAGAGACCAGAGAGAGAGAGAGAGACCAGAGAGAGAAGAGAGCCAGAGAGAGCGAGAGACCAGAGAGAGAGAGAGAGAGAGAGACCAGAGAGAGAAGAGAGCCAGAGAGAGAGACCAGAGAGAGAGAGAGACCAGAGAGAGAAGAGAGCCAGAGAGAGAGAGAGAGAGACCAGAGAGAGAGAGACCAGAGAGAGAAGAGAGCCAGAGAGAGAGAGAGAGAGACCAGAGAGAGAAGAGAGCCAGAGAGAGAGAGAGAGAGACCAGAGAGAGTCACTCGCAAAAGAATAATTGGAGAAAAGTAGAAAAAAAACCAGCACTGGGGGAATCTACAACCGACCAATCACGTGCGTTTGACCTTCAGCATCGACAGATAAGGTCTGGTTGGACTGAGGGCGCGGTAATTATTGTGAAGAAATAATTATGTTTTTCAATCTAGGTAAGCTTAGACCACTCTTTCTTCCATTTCAGGATTTGTGTGATACCAAAAGTTACTGGTAAAACTATATGTATTTATATATAAGGGGAAATTATGCTAAATCTTTTTTTAGCTTTCACCTTTTTACAACTTTTTTTCTATACATCCATTATTTGGGAACGTTAAACTACACATATTTGTGAGGTTGTTTTTGGATCCAGCCACGCTAATATCAGGGACTGCTGGCACAAACATGTAACTCCGCCCCTTCTCCCTTTTTAAAACAAAAATACTGCGCATAAGTTGGTTTTACGCAATTTTTGTTGTTATTGCAGAGTGTAATTTCTTATTTCAAGACAAAACCAATTATCCTCCTCCCCCTGGTGGCAGCATAGGGAGTTGCAGATGGAAAAGAGGTTTCATTCTTCATATTTGTTTCTCCATATATTTTCTACTGAAGATGTTATTTCACATTCTCAAAGATGAAAGGACAAAAGAAAGACACATTTGTAATATCCGATAATTAATGTGTGATTGGTCTTTCTCTAAAACTGGCATACCTAACATTCACACCACTAAGGAACCCCAGTAGGGTCATGTGTCCCCTGCATTTGACCCATCCTGATTGTCACTCGGGCGTGGGCAGTGGTCGCCGTAGCAACAGGGGGGTCCCAGATGTTGATGCTCTTCAGGACCAAAGCTGGAAAATTTTACCTATTGTACATGTTTTTGTGGTCTCTCTCTGGTTTCTCTTTGGTCGCTCTATGGTCCTTCTCTCTGGTCCCTCTCTCTGGTCCCTCTCTCTGGTCTCTCTTGTTTCTCTCTTTGGTCTCTCTGGTCTCTCTGTTCTTTCTCGCTGGCCTCTCTCTGGTCTCTATCAAGTCTCTCTCTCTATTCTTGCTCTGGCCGCTCTCTCTGTTCTTTCTCACTGGCCTCTCTCTGGTCTTTATCAAGTCTCTCTATTCTTGCTCTGGCCTCTCTCTGGCCCCTCTCTCTGGTGTCTCTCTGGTCTCTCTCTGGCCTCTCTCTGGTCTCTCTCTGGCCTCTCTCTGGCCTCTCTCTCTGGTCTCTCTCTGGCCTCTCTCTGGTCTCTATCTGGCCTCTCTCTGGTCTCTCTCTGGTCTCTCTCTGGCCTCTCTCTCTGGCCTCTCTCTGGTCTCTCTCTGGCCTCTCTCTGGCCTCTCTCTGGTCTCTCTCTGGCCTCTCTGGCCTCTCTCTCTGGTCCCTCTCTCTGGTCACTCTTTAGTTTCTTACTCAGGTCTCAAATAGTCCTAAAGTGACTCTCAGGGTTCTGCAAAAACACATTTATTTTCTAATCCAGCTTCTTGTGGTCTTATCTCTTCACAAAATTTGAAATTCCACTTCTCTTCTCTGTTGTTTTTGCTTTCAAATATTATATTTATTGCAGAAAAAGCTAGTTTTTCTTTCCTCCTGAGTAAAGTAAATTGACAGACTACGACCCATTGAGAGACTAAATGCATTTCTGAACGTCTATTTTAATGATGGTTCTGCCTGAGATGGTAAAAGCAGTGTTTTAGGGCGTTTAAAGAGGTGGACTTCAGAAAGGCTTTTTGGAGGCAGTAATAAGCTGGTGCTCTCTCAGCGCTATTCAGGTCAGCGCCTTTCATTGTGTCTTTAATAATCCTCAAACATAGAAATATTCAGCCTGTCAGTGGTTATGGTCACGCCGCCTCCTTCTCCCGGGAAAAAACTGCTGAATTTCTTATATGTGTCTATGTCCTGATGCTTCCTGATGCCCTGAGCCGTCTCACTGTCGTCTAATGCTGCAGCTTTGAGCAATAATAGTTTGATAGTGTCTCATTTATTCAATCTGGAGAGACTGGAACAGACAAAACAGGGGTTTTATTGAAATTATATATTGGTTGGCAATTAACTGACACTGGATAAGGAAGTACATACAATTATGAATACCATAAATGCAAGATTACACTTATTACTGTAATTTCTCCCAATGTGGGACTAATAAAGGCATCATTAATAACTGCTGAAAGTGAAATTTGGTTTAGATTTGGCGCTTAGAACCAAAATGGATCCTCCCAGGCCTAGATCCTGGTGGTGGTAGCTAGAGAAGCTAGAGAAGCTAGAGAAGCTGGAACGGCCGAGAAGGCGAAGATGGGGAGGAGGAGGGTTGCTGCTTGAATAAACGCTGCTGCTATTTTTATTATACTAAATATATATGTGTTTTATCATGTCAGCAGTCGTCTCGGAGGACTTTACAAAGTTGTTGATTCACAATAAACAGATCAGAGAAACAGTTTAATCAGTAATAAACACATAGAGCCATTGTTCCATAGGGAGAGGGATGACCACTGTCCTTACATGTTCTGGGAGTTCTAGTTGTTTGAGAATTCTGGGAGTCATTTTGACGGCTCCCATTCATATACAGTTTTTGACTACTTTTAGTTTTATTACATAATTGGTTTTAATCTTTAATACATGCTCAAACTACTTAATACAACTCAAATACAAATGAACTAAATACGCAACACTGCAAGTTAACAGTGTGTTGCTATGGTTACCAGTATAACCAGTCTCCGGTCTGGTCTAATTTCA